AAGTGTCCTAATACTCATTGTACAGTTAATAATGTTCTAACGTCGAAATAAAGTCTTTAATTTAACTAATCAAAATGAGATACGGGACAACAGACACTGTAATTACCATGTGCCGTTGTCTTTCTGAATTACTCAAATTCAGATTCCGTTGTCATTGACGATATCGAAGACGCTATATTGTGGCGATTCACGACCCAATTTGGTCGAAAATGGGATTTCATATGATGCATTAGCACAAGAGCTTAATGCATGCACAGAATTGGCGACGATAAAATCACATGATATAAGGACCAAGTAATAAACAGTTGAAGCGACGGTTATGTCCGGCATTTGTGACAACGGCTTCTGACTTTGCCGTAGTCAGGCTATTCCGGTGTGATTTAGATATAGATGTTTCTCAAGTAAATGGCCGTTCTGATATTAAATGTCTATGAGGCATTTTCTAAACCCTGTGTGCTTCTTTTTTATGGAAGTTAACGTTTTCTGCGTTTTTTTATATGTAGAAGTGTGTATGTGCAATCGATCCAATTGAAATGTCCAGATTTCTAGAAGTGTAATATTGGCTTAAAGCGATGTGTCGTCCTGATTCTTTCCTAATCAGCAAATCATTTTCTTGTGCATTTTTGTTTTATTCCAATTCATATTTTTCGAAATAATCTAAGCATCATAATTAAAATGCACGGTTCAATAAAATCAAAATAACCAACTAAGTAGTGTAGGGTATTATAAGTTTTTTAATTCCATATTTGGTAACACATTATCCATATTTAGAAACATTCAATGTCCCAACACATATTTTGTTCGTCCAATACAATCCTCATTCCCCTCATAGAATATTCAACAGAACATAATTGCAAAGTAAGGAATGGCAATAAAAATCATGAAATACGTAAAGGGAAAAATACAGGAAAATGCCAGAAATGACTTACCTGGTTTATTTTCAATCCTGATGTGCAGTCGTGTTCAATATGGATATATCTTTTGATTTGAGATTTGAGCTTGTTGTATTCCATTCATTCCCATGTTGAATTATTCAGACCAAAATATAGAATCATTGAAATAAGAGTTTGTGTGATGACATGGTGGATTACACTTACACTCCACTTTACCATTTTTCAATGTGTCGTCCTACTGTTAAACGTTTGGAAACATCATAGCTATCAGCTCTCCACATAATTATGGATTCAGGAAAATTCCCATTCAAATATAAATAAGCTAAATAGTGGTCTATTCTTTTGGGAGTCAAAGTTACCCATCTATAACGATATTTTGGATTTGATGTACGTGAGGGGTTCCCAATATGTCGTTGATTATTACTTTGTTCAATACATTTGGTTGAAGGTTCTTTGTGTTGATATTCGCATAAATTAGCAAAATAAATTTCAACATATATCGAAACCAATACTAGACCTAGACAAAATCTAAACCCATGACCTAAACAAAATATAGATTCATTATTTGATTATTAAATTACAAATTGTAAAAGACGATTAAAAACCGTTGTAATCATGTACGTACATGTAGGTAATTCACATTCACTTCTAAAAAAATTCCTAACTTATAACGGGGGTTGCAATTGCGGTTCAGACTTTTTATATTGCCTTATTGTCGAACGTCTACAACTATTTATCCAGCAACCGTTTTATAGACTTTGAATTGCACACGTTCTTATTTGCAGTATTACTCGAACAACAGCAACTCCACGGAGATATACATCCCACCTAGCGAAACATATTTTATCAAAGCACCCCTCGCGGTTTCAGAGTTGACCAGGGGATGAGTTGTCTAGGGGATGAGATGTCCAGGGATGAGTTGTCTAGGGGATGAGTTGTCCGTAAGCCTTTACGTTCCTAATCGCAAGAGTTCACAATTCTAAAGACTCCGTTTAGTGGATTCGTTCAAATATGAAGGGGCCTTTAAATAGCAGGGGTACTATGCCCGTCCTGCTCTAGTCGAAGGGGTAAAATGGCCAATGCATAACTTACTATCCGAAAGGGTATAATGCCCACTGTTCTACAACTAGTTGCTTTGACGGAACGTCAATGTAACAAAAGGGCCGAACTTCCTGGTTACAAGCTTTTTGTTTTCTCGATTTAAACCTACTTATAAGTCAACTTGAAGATTATAATTTGGCACAAAGCTAGAAAATATAGTGTTGTTTTAATAAGTTTCTTCGATTTTGAATTTTTCGTAAATGAAGTTGAAGTTACAATTCATATGTTTAGCCCTTCGCTTTTGTTGCATTGGCGGAACTCGATTATATTAACAATGTAGGTTACTTTAACGACTTACAAAAGCGATGGTCTAAATGTATCAACTACAGCTTTATTTAAAATCAAATTCCAAACCGAGAGCATTTCTAAAAGCTAGACTATATTGTCGAACTTTGTCCCAAATGATAATCTGACTTAAACGTAAGTTTAACTCCAAAACACTTGTATCCAGGAAGTTCATCCATTTTGTTACATTAACATTCCGTCAAAGTAACTAGATTTGGGACAGTGATTGTGTACTAGCTGCATGGTATACTCTGTCTATAGAATATAGTCCGGAGTAGGGATACTAGCGGTTACCGTTGGTTATTTGGTTTTCTGTATAAAAAAGCTTTTCTCCTTTTCTGTCCCGTCGCAGCGCCATCTAGTGTTTGATAAATGAATCAAGGTTTATTTTCGATAGGGTAAGTACTAATCTATCAGGAAACATTTACAAGTTTGGTTAGAAACAGAATTTTTATAGATGGCGGAGTGATTTTTGAGACTATGTAGAGCAGAATAATTTTCTGAAACAGGTAGCTTTACGGTGGTAGCTCTCTCCAGATTCAGTTATCTCAAAAACGGTGTGGTCACCGTATATGCTTATTTTGTAACGGCAAGCTAGACAAGACTCCAATGAACACTGGGCACTGTTTCGCTGAGCTAGATCTGTGCCCATGAATATATTATGAAATGAAACGTTATTATCACTGGCGGATCTAGGGGGGGCCAGGCCCCCCCCCCCCCTTGGGTGGGCCCAGAAAGAAAAAAATTGTGCCCAAAAAAAAATTTGAGCCAAAGAAAGGCCTTAAGGGACCAAAAAGTAGGCCATTTTGGTCATAAATTGGCCTACTAAGGCCTCATTTTTTAATTTTAGGCCAAATATTGAAGAAAATGGGCCTCAAAGTTTCAAAATTTGGGCCCACTTTTGGGTTTTTGGGGCCCAAATTTTTTTCCGCGCAAGCGTAAGTTTTTTTCTCAGACCAGAAGTTGGGCCCCCCCCCCTTGTTGGTTACCAGATCCGCCCCTGATAATGGTCGTCAATGGGATTTTTTACTGCAATCTTGACCCATAATGAACCAACCGCAGGGGTCCTGGTGCATACACATATTTCAATTTACAAAATTCGATCAACTCACAATGTGACGTTTTTTTAACTGCAATCTATGAATTGTACAAAAAGGACGGTGTGTATCTATTCAGTTTTGATTGTAGGGCATTTTTGCATACACAGGTAGACATGTATATCTTAATGATATAAATTGTAGACAATGTAAGCAATGTAATAATCAGGATAACAGGACAGAAGATGAATTACAATATTACATAATCTTAAATATATGGCCAATGAGAGTAAATGCTTACATATCATGAACTGTGAATCTAACCAATGATATTCCAGATCTAGATTTCATCAAAGTAAGCATGAAAAGAAGATGCATTATATAATATTACATAATATTGTTTTTGTATTTGACTATACACATGTATATGTATACGTTATTTATTATTTGTGAAAGTTAATACAAGCAAATTTAGCCACCAACCGCATTGCTACTTGTTCTTTCTAATTGGGTAACGTTGTGAATAGCATCACATGATAGCAACGAGATATAAAAATAGCTTAAATGTACAGTGTTACAATAGTATTACTTTGTATTCATTTTTGATAGCATGAACATTCAATGTCTGACTTATTATGTAATATATTACTAGGTAAATAAATGAATAAATAAAATAAATAGATATAGATACAAATAAATAAATGAATAAATAAAATAAATAGATATAGATACAAATGATTTTAGAAAAACTGTTTAAACTGCCATCTTTTAAATAAAAGTGAAAACAATAGCAAGGATCTAAAATACAACGGGTATTAACAAGACGCATATGACGTGAACGAGATCACACTATTAAAAACATTCAAAATGGCCACCAGAAAACAAGATGGCCGCTCAAAAGTAAATAGACTCTAGAACCTAGAACTCGATATCCTCTATCATGTGCGCGAGTTTGAAGGAAATCCGATGAGCGGTTTTCCTAAAATCGCGATAACAAGATTTATCGATAAATTTCAAAATGGCCACCAGAAAAACAAGATGGCCAAACTTGATATTTTCTATCATATGTGCGGAATTGGAGAAAATCCGATTAGCGGTTTTCCTTAAATGGCGATGACAAGATTTATCGAAAAACCTCAAAATGGCCGCAATAAAACAAGATGACCGTCCAAAAGTTGAATAGCTCTAGAAACTAGAACTCGATATCCTCTATCATGTGAGCGAGTTTGTAAAAAATCTGAAGAGCGTTTTCCCTAAAATAGGATGACAAGATTTATCGAAAATCTTCAAATTGGCCACCAGAAAATAAGTTGGCCGCCAAAAAGTAAATCAGCTCTAGAACTTGATATTCTATATCACGCGTGCGAATTTGGAAAAAATCCGATGAGCGCATTGTCTGAAATTGCTATGAAAAGATTTATCGAGAAACCTTCAAAATTGCCGCCAGAAAACAAAATGGCCACCCATAAGTTAATCAGGTCTAGAACTTTATATCCTCTATTATGTGTGCTAGTTTGGAGAAAATCTGATGAGTGTTTGCGATGACAAAAAGCGGGACGATCACGATCACGACCAGGATCACGTTCACGACCACGATCACGATCACGCCGTCATCATGACAACAATACCTCACTGATGGTGTGATAAAAAGTGAAATCAAAATACTTATAGTTTAGTGAACAGTTTTTATGTCCAATGCTAGCGATATAAAATACTTTTCGATCTTGGCTACGCCCATACGAACCCCTCAATTGGGCTTCAGCTATATAACAAAAGAGAGCTATGCGATTGATGGAAATAACTCAGGTACACCACTGCCAAAGCTTTCTCTATTGCGCTCTTTGCGATGCTCTAGCTGCCATCCTTTTATCCCTTGAAGCTATTCGCACATTTGTATATTCGCAGGTACATTACGCAGATATATTACGAAGACATATATGGGTCTCCTCTGCAATAATTGCTACTTGATGCACTATACGTCTCGTGTTGAAGGTGATAAACCACATGGACGTGCGAATATCTGTCCTTTCTCCAAGATCCACTTGTTAGCCACTGGAAAGAAGTCGAATGCATTAGTTGCATTGCATTTAGTGCACCTTGTGCTGGAACCCCAGCTGGATTTCCTGTCTATGTAAAATATTGACATATTTTTGAGCAAGGATAAATTACTACATCAGAATTAACAAGGATATAGGCATGTTCAAAGTTATTCTTTTAAGGTTGAAGTTTGAGATTTTTCTTACCCTTTACGTGGAATCGCTTGGTTTATTTCTTACTAATCATTGATATTCCAAGGCAGGCGAGCCGACAGGCATATCAAGAATGCAAGAATACATACCAGCAAGGACAATTAATATTAAATGTTATTATACCCCATTTTTGTCCAACGATGACTGGACAACCTGCATGTAGACTCCGATAGTCGAACTCTCCACTTCGTTTACAATTGAACCAGAAAGCAGCGGCATTCTGAAATGAAATATTATACTAAAAGAGACTCGTTTTTACAATCATGTATAAAACCTTCTCTGTCAGAGGACTTCTAAAATCACAAACATCGGAATGGACATTCTTGTGTGTTATAAGAGTATCACAACCGGAACGATTTTAAATTCAGATTGATGAATATACTCGAACTATCAAGGAGGTAATATCTATTTGTATCTGGCAAGGTTATATCTAGAAGGAGGACTATTAAGTACATTGCATACCTTTACCGGAGGAACTCGGACCTTGGCACGAGGAAAGACAGTTGCCCCACCTGCTTCTACGTCATTCAGCTGGAACGTAGTTCATGAGCGTCTTTTTTAATATGTAATTTGCCCTATACGATATTAAATATATGTTTATCAACGAATATAACAAAAGTGCATACATGTAAATGCAATCGCCCAACTCTCTGGTCAATAAAATGTATAAGAACAGAACCATAGTTATTATTTTTTAGATATTTATGTCCCGATAAAACCATCTATATGGTGCATACTGTAATGTATGCAAATGATGTACACTTACGTAGAATAGAAATGTCGCCAGTCTATCACCAGACAGCCTTATATGCTCTGATATATTTCCACCACCTTCATCCTCCTATGTTTAGATTTCAAAGCAGTTTTCAAAACAACAAAATCATTGTTATCAATTGTAGATACTTTTTACCTTTCTTCAAGTTTAAGCATACATGTATGTTGCAAGAAAACATGATATCAAAAAGTTATAAAATTGCAAGTTTTGCAATTAACTTGAATTCATACAATTGCTGTCTGGTACCATTTCATACTCAAATAATTCTGAGGATATACTAATGCTATTTTAGAGGGATTGCAAAATATTTTGCAGCATAATGCAATTTCTGAAGCAATGAAAGCATCATTATAAAAATTATAGCAAAATGTATAAGATATGGACTAATACGCACTTTATTAAAGTCGAAATGCACCTCGTAATGCCCTCCCATGCCATAGTTCAGCACCTAAATAAATTGAAAAATATAGGTTTGCCTTATTGTTTTGACTGGGGCTGGCTCAAAACGGACTCGATCGATCGGTTTGCGTATCCAAATAGTCTTAAAATTAAGTATTTTAGTATTTAAGTGTATTGTTTACACTAAACAAACAAACAAAATGATGTTGTAATTATGACGATAGGTAATTTTACCTGGAAATCTTCAGCATTTGGTAAAAGGATGTTATCAGTTTCTGTCTCCAGTCCAGTCACGTGCTTGATCCTCCTGGTTAAACGCGAAACGCGCGGATCATCTTCATCAGCGATCCAAGATCTACAGATATAGTTACTAGATTATATTTCAGTTCAAATGAAGAGTGCTTTTCAAGAATAACATTTAATGTGTTTCAATAAAGCTTTGGCAAGTTCGCGTTTTTCAATTTTACATCTATGCTCTCTCAATCCATCATGATTAAAATAAAAGCTAACCCTTTACCCATAATAAAAACTATTTCCTTATTTGACGAAATGCATAAATAGATAAACGTTTATATGGTTTCCACAAGTGAACGTTTGGACATTTTTGTTTTGTTTGACATACTCACACTTGGCTAATTCGTATATCAGAAAATTCGTCATCACCAACACGAGCTCTGTCAAGCTAAAACATTTCCAACATGAGCTTTATAACCTTTATAATATTATGTAGGCTAAAACTAAATTGAATAAATTCAACCAGACATTTCATACAATGGTCTACTAGTACGTGTATTATTACATCTTAAGGACTCGGTTTTCACTGCAATGTTACACCTCAAAGTTTCAACTCTTTGGGATTTCATGGGGGAAATGATGACAATGTCCCTAAGGACTTGATATTAAACCGTTCGGGATTTGATTGGACACGAAGAACTGAAACTTTTAAGCCGAAGTTGGATTCAGTAATGGTCAACTGCATATTCCTATTAAATTTTCTCTGAACTCAATTTATTGTTAACACTATTCTGTGTTTGGTTGAACATACAACCCACTCCAGCAACCTAAAGTCGATTAAGAAAATATCAACCTCTAGTTGCCAAACTTATATAGGGGGATGTAACTTACATTTGGAAGACTTAGCTGTTTAAGTAACGCGACTTCTTCGTCTGTAATAACATCATGGAACATCGCAATCAAAGGATCTGTGTGTAGGATTTCCTCTTTGAATACGGCATATGCATATGCCCCTTTTCTGTATTGGCATATCAAACCTTTACTTTCCAACGGTGTCTAAAATCAGTCATTTGCATTAAAGATTCATTATGCACGTAAATACAATTTCATGAGAAATGCGACGAGCAATACATCCACAACAAAATGTTCCAAGTAGATCTAAGATGTGATGGCATTCCGTACACCTTTCTTCTACGGAAACTTTGCATACAGACAGTATTGGGAAATGTAACCCAAGACAAATTACAAGTCTCATTTAGAGGTCCATGGCCTCATCTTGTTTACTCGACTCTACTAGTTCTAAACATTGTTCTTATAGAAAGCATGTCATACATTACAACAGTGTAATCTTTAACATAACCGATCTATCATTCATTTCGAGTTCAAGAAATGTTGCAACATTTTGACTTGAAAAAAAGTGCAATCTGATAATCAATGAAAATAATATAACGAAACGCGCAGATAATTCATTAACAAGGAAATACATACATCAGAAACAATATGGTAATGACAAAGACAAACCTTTTTAGTTTCTCCACGACACAGACTTCTGTATTCATCTTCAAGCCACTGCTCTTCATTTATGGGGTTATGATTGCCACGTGGTTCATGGTCTTTATCAGAGCCATGGTCGTTCGAGGTTTGATTTCCTATAGCATCCCATCTAGCGTCAAAGTCCTTATACAAATCTATATTGTTGGCAATTTGTAGTCTCGTTGTTCTGTTCGCAATCAACATTGACTCTTTTATCCGTCCAATCTTTGAATATAAATTATACATACTCCCAGTACCAGTAATATCAATGATATCGAAAATAATCAGCTGGGATTGAAGCAGTGTCAAAACATTTAGAATGAAGCTATGTGCAACAAATGTAATATATACAATTTATATAAGTTGAGAACATACAGCACACATATACAGTATGTGCCATTATGGCCCCTGTGATATACCTGAATACATTATCTAATGCTTTTCTGACTATGGCATAGTCAGAAAAGCATTAGATTATGTATTCAGATATAGTACAGGGGCAAATATTAACATCATCAGAGAGGGCGATGGATTGTGACTGATGAAAGATAGCAACATATTTTCGAAAGAACACACCCTGTATCTATACCAACAAAGAATATTTATGAGTTTGGAAACATCAAAGAGGAGCTTTTCAACAAACCCTTTTCAATGACTCCGCCTGGATTAACATCGCCTCATATCTGTCCAATGTTGATGGATTGTGAAGCAATGCTTCTTTGGCCCAGATTCCACTTATTTCAGCAGCATTTGGTATTAGCGGTGATTCTGCCGAAACACGAGCTATGTCAATACATTCCTCTGCTGATACGTGCTCAATGGACCTTCGCCCGGAGATTTTCCCCAGTGCCATATCAGATGTGTTGAGTTCATAGACACTCTGTATACGAAGTAAGGCATCAATGGAGCCAATATAGTCATTGTCCCCTATCTCAACATGGGTTGTATCATTCGTAAAGCCTTAATGATCGATAAATGGAGGATTAAAACGACATATATCACACATCTATAGCCCTATAACGTCTTTACTTTTACTCTGACTAGGAAAGCAAATAATACGCAGCCAATGAGATCGGGTACCACCCACACTCTGATACTATGAAACTAGGATAGAATTATGAATAGCAATTATCTATATAGTGGAATCAGTTTGGTCTATAAAACTCGAGAATTGCACATGCTTCAGGTATATATAAACCAAAATATTAAAAATATATCTGACCAAAATGGTACAAAAAGTCCAAACAAAAATAGTCCAAGTTCAAATCAAGACAATTTAGCTTGAGAATCAAAATTCTATTGGTTAAATGGTATTTGCGCATGCGCAGTTGTGTTGTTTTATAATAGGCGCACGCGGATCTTATCATTTTCCGCCCGTAAGTTTTGAGCGCATGCGCGAATTGGAATATTCGAAACAACGGAACAAACCCTTAAATTAGCACATGCGCAAAAGAAAGATTCTACTGCAGAATACCAAAAAAATTCAAATAGAAAATTGAAAGATCGAATAAGAAAATACTCGCAGGTTCAAACTGCAGAATACCTTTGAAGTTCGAACATAAAAATGAAAACTTCAAACACGAAATGTACAGAAAGTCAGAACATATGAACTTAGTTTTGTAGTGGTGTAATCATTAGTTTGAACTATGGAACATTAGCTCTTTTCTTATTAAAACTTTTTTTTGGTAGTTTGAAAATTTGCTTTGATATTTTATTTTCATATTCGATGCTTCTACCATTTAAATCAATACATTTCTTTATTCTTTGAAGATTATTTCGAACATTTACAACTATATCTTAATGAAATACTAATGAATTTTGAGCCACTTCTGACGCTATAGCAGGCCTCGAAAACTTTATCACTTTAGAAGCAGAGATCACGATAGTTGAAAAAACTTGTTAGCCATTATGGCTAAATCTTCCAAAAATTTTTTAGCCAACCAAAATATGAATTAGCCATTTTGAAAAACCGTAAAAAGGGAATTCGCAATAGAGGTGTCACGGTTATACACGGTCCAAGAAAATTTCGGTACGGAACGGTACAAATGGTCTCGACACGTTACTTTCGGGACGGGACGGGACAGAACATTAAAAATGATGCAATGTCTGATGATGACAGTTTCACTTTTCAAAATCATATTCAGAAATAAAAAAACGTCCATTAAACACTGTGGCTAGTCGATCTATGTGGATGCAGTCAAGCACATGTAATGTTTCATGAGTACCCCCCTCTGTACTTTTCAATGGAAGAATTTGGCACTTTTGTTTAAATAATCTATATTTACTCATCCGTGTATATCATACTTCATCGATTTACCAAACCAAAGCAACGCTATAAACACACATTCTCTGATAATTTTACAGCGAATAGATAACTCAAACGACTTCACCCGACCAGTTTTATCACCTCGCTCATAGCTGTGAGAAGGTATGTATAATTGCCATAGGTTTACCTTATAATGGGGAATAAAAAATTCAAGTAATATAATTATTTCACGTACACAAATATGTCTGTGTGAAGTAAAATACAAATACAACGCATTGTCGAATATTTTTGGAGTTATGGTATGAAATATCCGCTTTAAAAAAGCAATTTAATTATGATGTATCATGTGGATTAGTAGACGTTCTAATTGGATTCAATGAACAGACTGGCTAGGTTTTAATTGAATCATTTTTAATGTGTGTATTTTACATATATTTCTTACACGCTCTCATTGGATACATCAGGAAGAAACAACTATGGTTACATTTAAACTTGAGTTGGGACAATAATTCAACCAAAATATAATTTTACAGTAGTATATGGTGAATATTTGATGCCCGACGATAATCTGATGTTTACTCAAGATGATGGACATCTTGATTTTATTTTCCATATATATCACAACTATTTTGTAGATGGATCTGGTTGTCGTACAGCCAGTGGAGGAAACTGCCCCAACACGCCACATGTGCGATGAATGCGGCAACCTTTTCAATAGCAAAAGCGCGCTAAAAACGCATGGTAAAGAACAACATGGCCTGGGGAAAAAGTGCAGATTTGAGGTAAATGTTTTATTTTAACTAAATAAACGTTACTAAAACGGATAACATCACATTCATAAATTGAAGAGCCACAGCCTGCAAACCAGGGGTATTGATACTTCAAAACTTATAGATATTGCTATTTTACAGGGATGTGAGAAGGTGCTAGCATCCAATTCAAGGCTCACTAGACATGAGCGCATCCATACCAGGGGAGAAAGGTTAAAATGTGAGGCCTGTACAAAAACGTTCTGTAGCAAAGCAACACTTTTGAACCATCTAAAGAACACGTGTAGTGGGATCCCAACTTCCCCAGGAAAATTCGAATGTCCAGAGTGCAACAGGCGATACATTAGAAACGCTGATCGAAACCGCCACGTCAGAGTAGAGCACGAGGGATCTCGTATAACCTGTACATTTGAAGGCTGTATTGAAACATTTAAATATAGAAAGAACCTTCTACAACATTTGGCAAAGAGCCATGCAATTAATGATAATTAAATAATAATAAATTAGACCAATGAAATATGTTGAATACACATTCACCCTCTACAATAAATATATTGTTGTACACGTATACCCAATACAAGTGTTTTGTCTGATTACACATATGATATTGTTTCATATAGTGTTTTTTAAGTTTTCTAAATAGTCTTGCACGATTCATTTCAAAATCGATGCTGTTCCAGCTCTGACAGACGCAAGAATTTTGCTTTCATCAAGCGAGTGATGCTCTGATCTCATTGTCCGTTTCCCAGCAGCTGGCATTCCAGGGGGATGGATTGTTGTTCTTTTACGTTTACGGTTATGTTTACCATCATCTTTGTCGAACACAAAATGGTCCCTGTAAAGTATGAATGTAATGGCCTATACTTAATACATATATTGCATAATCATTACGCTTAAATGTGCATATGTTTCAATATAAACATGTGTACCTGAGACAAATCGGTCCTAAATTACTTAAGTCAGGTGGAGTCCACGTTTTGGGAGATTTACATTCTTCAACCATTGGACCTAATTGTTGCTGGAACGGATGAATGGGATAGACTCGTGTTTTCCGACTTGTAGCCATTGAGAATGGTCTGAAATTCAAAAATAGGTTTACTATTGCAGCATTGGTACTGATTGATGACAAATACGACTCAAAACGCATATTTAAAAACTTATTTGAACTAAATACTATAAATTCATCATACTGATTTGTAATAAATACTTTAATGTGTTTAAACGTGTTTACTTTTTACAAACAATGTGATGTACCTGTTAGGATCTAATCTTGCATAAGCTATGTCACAAGCAGCGCTCATCGCTGCAGGAATATCATCTGGATTTAGAACGCCTTTGCCCTTTGGGTCAATATCTTGAAATGCCGAGAAGAATGTCTCACTGTCCAATGAGGATATGGCTCTCTGGTTGAAACATCCAGATTTTGTAAATGGAATCAATTGGATTCTCCTCTCTATGTTGGTCAATAGTCCTTCAAACAGTATACATGGAATGTCTTTGATGTATCTACCGTTGATATCTGGATTGAAAGTCTCCAAACAGACACCTATAAGTATGCACTGTACATATGAATTATGAAAACAACATTTTGCAATATCTGAAACTTGCTGAAGAGCCGATTTTGACCCATTGTGCAAATGGAAGGATTTCTCATCCAATCATGACCACATGTGAATGAGTGACATATCAATGCAAAGAGGATGGACGTGGCTTTATGGTACATTGAATGAAATTGATGTAGTCATCACTAGATTTGTGATTTTACACATATGTAGACATACAAAAACACATTTATCAAATGTTGAAACAAAATTACCTTGTAAAAGCCATGATCTCATATCGATGAGCTTTTGGTATCTTTGTTTGATGGGTATACCAGGCTCATCAATGGCATCATACCAGTTTCTTATAGTATTGCACAACATAGCTTCATTGACATCCCCATTTTCAGTCATCACATTTTGAACGTCTTTGTGAAAAATGCGTCTGGCAAACCCATTAGACATTTTATCAACGAGGTCAACAATAGCCATGTTAAGGTTGGCACTTTCGTTGGAACACGCTCTCACCCATGCCTCTCGTGAAATATCTTAAAAATAGTAGAACTATATTGCCAATGACTCATAAGAAAGTGCATGGTAACTTAGAAAATGGTGTTTGAACAATGGCTTACCTGCCTTCCTTATCCCAGTAGAACACACCTTCGTTCTCATATTAGTCAAGAGATGGTGCCCATCTAAGACCACGAATAGAAGCATATCCAATGAATCCACCCACTCAGGCTGAGTTATCCATATACGGGGTTCCTCAAAGTTTTCAACTTTCACCGTGTCCTGTTAATAATTAAGATCATCTTAAGAGGTATTAAGGATTGAACTTAATGAATTTGTAATTATACATTTGACAATGATAAGGAGGGAGCTTACCTTGATATGGTTCTTTGATCTCCACTCCTCTAACATTTGGGGATAATCAAAAGTAGCATATACCAATGAAAGTGCTGATTTGGGATACCTGGAAATTACTGAGAGTGCAAGTTGTTTCAATGATGTTGCAGATTCCAGTTTGGGTATTCGTCTCTGTTTTTCAATTGTCGATGACCCATCTCCAAAACATTTTGACAATGCATTTGTCAATTCATGCTTTTTCATGTTTAATTTCAGTTTCACACCAAACGTCTCATTGGTTTGTTTTATAATAGGACGGATCATCATTACTAATTCTTCTCTTGTGAAAGTTTGGTTAATACTTTCTGAGGATTTAAACTTTTCACTAATGTAGGTATGTTCCATTTGCTTCCATTTGGGCTTTATTTCACTTTTTCCTCTTGGTATTTCTCTTTTCAGGACATGGACCATATTTTCTATGAGGGTTGATCTAGTCTCATCTAAATTGTGGTTGCTGGCAATTTCTCTGTTGTCCAT